TTTGAGCTGTCTCCCATCAGTTCCAAACTCCAGGAAAGAAGTACTTCTTTTCTCACCTTTGGCAATCAACAATGACAACTCGCATTTAATAGCAGGTAAAATCCTGTGACGCTTCATGTGAGCATTATAAAGAATATTTGACACTATGTTTAATCAAAGAGATAATTTTTAACAAGTGACCTAGAGGAGAATGAGATAGAGAGATGGTGATTGTTAGGGAGGAAATTCCAGAACTTAAGGCCTCAGCAGCTGAAGGAAGAGTCATCAATGCAGGAGGGAATAAAGTCAGGATGTGCAAGAGGCCAAAAGCAGAGGGAATCCTGGTAACACTGCTGGGTCTCTGATTATCAAGCAGCTCTTTGAAGGCGGACAAAAACAGAGTTAACGTTTCGGGTCCGATGACACTTGAAGGGTCACCCGGACCCGAAACGTTAACTCTGTTTCTTCCTTCACAGATGCTGCCAGACCTGCTGAGCTTTTCCAGCAACTTTGTTTTTGTTCCTGATTTACAGTATCCGCAGTTCTTTTGGTTTTTCTTTGAAGGGGGATATTCATATTCCTTAAGGCTACTTAGCCTGATGAAAGCCGGTAAATGTGTGATTGGGATTCAATCCTGCCAAAGTTTCCTGGAAGTGCTCCCACCTTTCTGGCCAGTGGCTGAGGCTTGTGATTTATGATCATAGAATCCCTTCAATGTGGAAACAGACCCTTCGGCCCAACAAGTCCACACCGACCTGTAGAGCATCCTACCCACACCCATCCCCCTATAACCCACCTAATCTACACATCCTTGAACACTATGGGCAATTTAGCATGGCTAATCCACATAACTTGCACATCTTTTTGGACTGTAGGAGGAAACCGAAGCACCCGGAGGAAACCCACGCAGACACGGGGAGAATGTGCAAACTCCACATAGGCAGGCGCCCAAGGGTGGAATTGAACACGGGTCCCTGGTGCAGTGAGGCAGCAATGCTAACCACTGAACCACCATGCCACGTGTTTTTAATAATTCAGTCCAATATCTCACAAGGCAAGTAGTCAATCCAGAGAAAAGGTTTGTTAAGGAACTGGTGCTCCCAGATTGTGTGGATTCATTCAAATGCAAAGTATCCATTTATTTCAGAAAATAACATTTTGAAATATGGTAAATGAGTCGTTTGAGACATGTCATCGTGAGTTCATGTTGGAGGGGAACACATGATTTTCAATTGGGATTTTGGTTCCCAAAGGCCTTCACCATTAGGTTGTATTCTCATTAATGGCTCCGTGGAGATTAATTGATAGAGACCAATTGTTATGCTTTGTTCAAAACACTATCATCATTTCATCAGGTGGCTACCAGAATGGTCAAAGTTCAACTAGATTGCACTGTTTCCTTTCCTTAAAGTAGTGATTCCAACATTTCTCACAGACAATTATCCAGAAAATGGCAGAACAGAAAGCCAAACTCAGATGTATAGTCAAAGCACCAGGTGACTCTTACTTGATGAAAATAAATTTAATGTGAAATATTCTGCAAAATATTCTTCCACTAAAGGGAGGACAGGCTGCCTGGGTTCATTGGCCTTCACTATAATTTCTCAAGCATTTTCTGCATTCTTTCTCCAACACAAAAGAACCATAAGTATACTGCAGGCCATCCATACAATACTTGTGTTGGCAAAACTGCCATTGACATTGCAATTTGTAAATAAAAAGCTAATCGTGATGAATATATTTCTGTATCACATTATGATGATAACGAGCATCTTCTGACAAAGATTATTGTTCCAATAAGATAGCACCATGTCGAATATAGTGGCAGTCACTTGTGCAATTAACATTTAACAGTTCAACTGGAATAGTACACTACTTACTGCAAAAAAACTGAAATGAAACAAGATTGCAAAAAATACAGCACCATTAAACACCAAAAGCAGCTTACAAGCTCTGCACACACTGAAACAGAAAAACCTTTTCACTAATGTCTCTTACCAGGGGTTAAGTGTATGTTTAGTGGTTAAGTCAAGCCACAGGTCAAAAGTGAGATCCATGTATTGCTTTCATCCATGTGAAACTTTAACAGATTGATTAGAACAGCCCAGGAGACACCCGCTCAGCCACTGATGCTTTTGTATCCCTACTAGTTTTTTTTTTCTGGCTGGTGTTTTGTGCTTAGCTGTTCCTATAAATCTTCCTGGTGCATACCAAGCTCAGTCAGGAGACAGCAATCAAAAATGTGCCCTCCTATTTATACTTTATGCTAATTAAAATACACTTTTTTTTGTAAATAATTAGAACTATACAGTGAAAAGTTGAATATGGATTGTGTGAGGATGGGGTCATTGAGCATGTAGATGATGTTTGTGGTGAGACTGAGTGTGTTGCCTGTGCTAGGGGGATGTCTGGGTGTGGCTGGTAATTTGATATTGTTGTGGCTTCCAAAACTATTTCCTGACGATTGCGTTAGGCATTGATGCTTGCCTGACCACGCATTGAGTTAAAGAACGGATAAGGCGGATTTTCCAGATCAGTTTTGATGTACTCCTGACTATAATAGCTCACTACTAATATTCACGCTGGAGTCTCAGTCCAGAAGTTAGCCAGCTGTAATATTTATTTGAAATTCTGATAATGTCACTTGAACAACTCATGCAATTTCTCAGAATTTGATTTGGACTAAAAGGTGGAGATCTGGTGGTTATGAGGACAGCACTATGTACTGAAGCGCTTTTAATGAAGGCTGTGAGCAGATATATTCCTGTACTTAAAGACCTCTTCTTGCTTTCTGTTTCCTTGTGTCCTCATGACACTTTGTTACTCAAAGGATTGGTGTCAAAGTCTTAGCACATTCATTGGTTTTGGAATGTGCACAATAATGTAAGGGATTTTCCCTGTTGGAGAAAGAAGAGGAGAAGCAACTGAATTGAAACATATCTACCTAGGTATAACCCTGCCAAACTGACCCCATTCTGTGCCGGGGGAGGTGATGATCTAGTGGTATTATTGCTGGACTGTTAATTTTGGGGACTCAGGTTTGAATTCCACCAAGATAATAAGCTGGAATTAAGAGTCCAGTGACGATTGTGAAACCATAGCCGATTGATGGAAAAACTCATCAAGTTCACTAACGTCTTCTGGGAGGGAAACTGGCATCCTTACCTGGTCCGGCCTACATACAACTCCAGACCCACGGCAATGTGGTTAACTCTGGAATGGGAAATAAATGCTGGCCTAGCTGGCAATGCCCTCATCCCATGAATGAATGATAAAAAAAGGACTGGCGTTGGCAGTGATACGAATGAGTATCTCCTTTTATCCACTGTCTTCAATGGAGAGAGTACCCAGTAATAGCAAACAGATTAGGGCAGTCCAAAGCGTGGGGACATAAAAATAAGACACTAATAAATGAAATAAGGAATTCAAAAGATTTTCTTATTTCTTAAGAGTGTGGTGAGAACACACTATTTGCTAATACTAAGAATTGTTGAAATGAATAAGAAGATATATTTATGTAGAAACTAGAGAAAACACAGAAGGTAGAAGGGAATAGAAGATTTTGTATAGTAAGGAAAGTTCTAAACATGTCAGAGGGAAGATTCTGTGCTTTGAATTCTATTTAACTTCTCTATGGGAGGAGTAACATGCAGAATTAACTTCACTCTGCCAGAAAAGAGAGTTGACCCACTCCAACCCTAGCTTTTGGAGATAGCCTCTTGTCTCAAGGGAGAGCGGCGTTTACATGACATTCAGAATGATAACTCCCAAGAGAATGGTGAGTTTCCACATTGCTGGGCTTTGTTCAAAATGTCTGCGGAAGTGTGAAGGCCCTCACCTTCACCTTGGCCCTCATTTCCAAACAACTACGTGGAAACTGGAGAGACTGTGTTGACCAAATGTATCCTCTGTGACATTGTGAATAACTTGACAACTATTCCAACCACCCTTTGCAGTCCTTTAATAGTTGCTCTGAAACCAATTTTATGAAGTCTAATCAAAGGGACTTAAGAAATAAGCTCTCATGTAACCCCAGTCAAAATAGGAAATTGAAATTTATATTGGAAAAGTGAGCCTAACCTATTAGTGTGCTGCGGTATTGGTGAGTCTAAGACATGGATCTCAGGGCAGTGAAACTTTAAACAAACTCATATCTGCCTGTCACTGACTTTACCTCACACGTATAGGCAAAGAGTTACAAGTGTACAAGATACATCTATGACTATTTCTACATGTCACTGACGCGCATGTGTGATTTAGGGGCATTAACATTAACCAGGGAGGGGAGGAATGGCAACAGGGTGAACTCTTCTCTCTCATTAGGAAAATTATAGTATTGATATAACTATCCTTACACAAAAGAAGAAAACACAATATCGGGCTGTTGGTGATCAAAGATTACACCCTTGTACAGCAATGCACTCAATCTCTGCACACTCAAGGTAGTTCACAATGTATTGGTTGAAAATCTGGGGAAACTGAACAGGATTAGCTTCGTGCTCTCACTAGCAGTGATGCTGTACTTGACTTACCACCAGTGTTAAATGCTTAGTATCCTTTGCCTGTCTTTCTCAAACAGGCATCCATCACAATTACGGGAAGATTGACCCCAAAGCTAGAACAGCAGTGAAAAGGTTAAACAGCACCATTCAAGTTTGCCTTTGTATTGCTTAAAAAAACTGTAAATACTCAAGTTGCTATAAAAGAAGCTATCAAGTTACAAATTTGTTCGTCAAGTGGTTTGATCAATACTCTGGACGGAAATAATTATTAATATAATCTGGAATGACAGGAATGAAATAAAAGCAGTGGGTTGGGATTTAAACACATCTCCTGACCTGTCTACTGAAGGGACGATTCTCCAGTTCCTTCATTGTTCTTTGCTTTTGTTTCAGAAACCAATTCAAGTCCATAATATTAATTCCGCAAAAACATGCAGTGAGAGATTATAAACATCTTTTTCTTGAACAAAAAGGAGGCTAGTGCTTAAGTTTTTCTTCCCCACTGATGTTAGTCAGGCTGCTAATGTTGCAGTAATAGGTAAATGCAGAACCAAAGGGAGTTCACAGGGAGCAGTTCTTGAAAGTGTCACTATTTTGGTTTCTGAAGCTGTTTAATGCAGCACAATCCAAAACTGCAGAGATCTCGTGCAGACTGTGGGTAACTGTTGGGTGGAGTCCACAGCATATCCGAACATTGTTCTCTTCCAGTTTTAGAAATTATTTAGAAATTATCAGTTCTGCTCAGGTTCAGGCAGAGTTGAAGCTCCTCTTAAATTATCTGACGCTGCAGTAAAACCTGTGATTAGCTACCATGGTGTTGCTTGTTTGCGTAGAAGTCTCTGCAAGTTTGGCAGCAGCGCTGGTACCATCGCATGTCCTGACACAGGTTCTTCTCTCGGATTACCCTGCAGTATACTGTCCACCGATCTCCCGTACACTTGTATGTCAAGGCAGCTGGCAGATCAAGACAGACTGTTACAAGGTGGTCTTCATGGACAACAACAGTTTACAGTTACTATCTTCACCAAACTATCCAATATTGAACACAAGCTGTTCTATAGCTCAATTCCCATTTCCCTGGCTTTGCTCCATTTCCCTTGAGCCCCTCAATGAATAAAAAATAATCTGCTGATCTCAGTTTTGAATGTTCCAATTATCCTCCAGCCTCTGCAGAATTGTAAGGATGAGTGCTCCAAATATACAGAGACTTAGCCAGACCCAATCACAGTCTATATTTCTGCATCCTGATTACAGTTTGGCTCAATATATACACAAACCTGTCTTGATCCAAGTCTGTGCTCATTCATACACCACCCTTCCAAACTAGTCAGTATTTAGATACGCACAACCCATCCCAATCATAGTCAGTATTTAGATATACACAAACCCATCAAGACTACAGTCAGTATTTATACATACATAAACCCATCAAAACCATAGTTAATATTTATATATTTCCAAACCCATCCCAATCACAGTCTGCATTTGTATACATACAAGCCCATTCCGACAATAGTTTTGTCTTTGCTCTGGGCTGCAGATCTGATATTCTATACATCAGTACTAAGCCCCTTGTGCCTCCTGGCCTGTTGGGATTTTGGTTGGTCCACAATCCATGGTTTATGTAAAAGAGGAGGAATGACACTCACCAAGGCTGGGTGAGGTGATTGTGTTGATGTTGATGTTTCCATTGCAGGGTTTCTGCTGGCATTGTTTGTAAGCTGGTGGTTTGCTTAAGGTTGGACATTCATTGCCATGGCGACCAGTGACTCTATGCATACACTGAACCACCCGTGACTGCAGGCCCTTGCCACATGTGGAGGAACACTGAATAAAACACCACCACAGACGGAATTATCAATTGGTTATTCTACTCAACAAGATGCACATATCAATAAAAAATAAAATACTGCAGCTTTTAGAAATCTGGAATGAAAACAAGCTAGTAGAAATATTGAGCAGATCAGGTAGATCTGTAGAGAGAGAAAAACAGTTAACATTTCAGGTCAATAACAGTTTGTCAGAACTTTCACTATATATAGAAAATGTATTTATATTCCATATTCATTTATACACTCATATGTACATATGTCTGTAACTGCTTTATGGACGAGAAAAATTCATTTTACAAGAATTAGAAAACCTATAAGTGAGGCTTAATTTAAAAATATGGACTATCTTTTATTAAAAAGATAATTTTAAAAGAACTAAAAGAATTTTATCACTATTCCATGTTTAAATACAGTAAGGTCTGGTGTGTTAAACTAGGGGACCGATTTGGGAAGTTACAGAATCACAGAATTATTACAGTGCAGAAGTGCAGGAGGACACAGTACGCCCTAACACACTGGCCACACTGCCCTATCTCAAGAACATATCAAAACTGACAGCAAGACTCATAAGACCAGTAGGAATCATATTGGCTCACAAGCCCACAGCCACTCCACAGCAAACACTTACAGGGATTAAAGACCCCATTCCCACAACATGCAGAACCAATGTGGTTTACAAAATACCATGCAATGACTGCCACAAACATCACATCAGACAGACAGGAAGGAAACTAGCCACCAGAATACATGAACGTCAACTAACAGCAAAACGACACGACAAACTCTCCTTAATATCAGTACACTCAGACAATGAAGGCCATCAGTTTAACTGGGACAAGGTAACCATAGTAACCCAAGCCAAACATAGACACCGCACGGGAATTCCTAGAGGCATGGTTCTCCACCCTTAATGCAATCAACAAATACATAGAATTGGACCCCATATACAAACCCATACAGATCAAAACCGGAAATGACAGTACTCACCATAACGGACCGGACAGTATAAATTCCAAGTGGAGTAGAATAACACCGTTTCATCGGAGACTCCACTGATGATGTCACCTAGCATGGTGACGAAACGTCTTAAGGAGAACAAGCCAGTTTGGCGAGCAAGTCAACAACCTCCCCCACAGCCCGAGCTACAGATCTTTGCCAAAACTTTATCCCTGTAAATCTTTTCTGCACTCTCTCAAGTTTATCAACATCCTTCCTATAGAAGGTTGACCATTATGTTTGCACTGGCTCTCCAAATAAACCTCATGACTTCTGAAACTTTTTATTCCTAGAAACATTCTTCTAAGTCTATTTTATACTCTCTTCATTGCACACAGTAATCCAGTGGTGGCCTGCCCCAAGTCCTGTACAGTTCCAACACAACTTCCCTGCTCTTATAATTTATGCCATGGCTGAAAAAGGCAAGTGTCCAACATGCCTTCCTAACTACCCTATTAACCTGTCCTGCTGCCTTCAGGGATCTGTGAACAAGCACCCCAAGATCCCTCAGTTCCTCTGAGCTTCCTAGTGTCTTGCCATTCGCTGAGTATTCCCTTGTCTTGTTCCTTCTTGCAAAGTGCATCACCCCACACTTATCAGGGTTAAAGTCCATTTGCCGCTGATCTGCCCATTTGACTGATCTGTCTGTATCCACTTGTGACCTAAGACTTTCTTCTTCACTGTCAACCACCCAGCGGATCTTCAAGTCATCCGTAAACTTATCTATCAATGTGGTGACTTTACCATCTACCAGATTACTACATCTGAGCTCCTACTTGCTCATTTTCTATCTACCTCCCTAAATTCTGACTGAAGGACCAGAACTCCTCTGTCATTGTACCAATGTGAACTACGACCTCTGGTTGTTCACCTTTGTCACTGACACCAAGGAGGCAACATACCATCTTGGAATTACATCTATGTTCCCCAAATTAATGAAGTTTGATTTTTAGAGATTATGATTCTCCCAACTCACCTGACTTCCAGCACTTCATTCAAGATGCACAATTGTGAAGGTGTTACAATTCCACGCTCCAGCTACTGGGGTTGTGGCACCAGGAATGCTGAGTGGGAATTTTGGAGGGGAAGTTAATAATACTGCCTGCTCATAGGATCTATGGTGAATTTGTCAAACCTAGCCTAATGAGTCTGACAGTGTAGGGAAGATCAGTTAACACCAGTAGACCCAGATTGATGCTCTGAATTGATCATGTCAGTTTTGTTTCATGCATTTTGTCTCACCATGATAATGGCAATTATTTAATAATGACCAATTATTTAAATTTCACATCAAGAAAACTAAATAGACGGACAAAACGTTAACTAATCTCTTAATGAGAAATATGAAGGGCTTGCAGTTTGGACATTGCCACTAATTACTAAAGCACCAGCCTCTACTTGGAAACAATGGCAGAATCAGAGGGAGTCAAAATCAGGCCAGTTCATGCACTCACATCTCCACTATTTAGGAATAAATTAGCTTGCACAGGAGTATATTTAGAAACTGCAGGTACACGACGGATGAACTGGAAAGGATGCAAAAAGGACTTACAAGGATTTTACTGAGACTGGAAGGTCTGAGTTATAAGGTGAGGCTGGATATGCTGGATATCCCTAGGGTATGGGAGGCTGAGGGCTGACCTTATAGATCTTTATAAAATCATGAGGGGCATAGATAAGGTGAATAACCAAGGTCTTTCCTCCAGGGCATAGGAGTCCAAAATCAAACGGCATAGGTTTAAGGTGAGAGGGGCAGAATTTAGAAGGGTCCTGAGGGGTAAAATTTTCACACAGAGTGGGGTGCGTATATGAAAACGAGCTGCAAAAGGAAATGGTACAATTACAACATTTAAAAGGCATTTGAACAGGTACATGAATAGGAAAGATACAGGGATACAGACCAAATGCGGGAGAACTAGTTCAGTTTAGGAAATCTGGTCAGCATGAATGAGTTGGGCCGAAGGGTCTGTTTCCATGCTGTATGACTCTATGCCATTTCCTCAGAGGAAGATAAGACATGTTTATGAGCTTCATAAGAGATGTTTATTTATTGCATAAAGCTTATTTGAATTAAACTGTCAATGACCATATTGGTAATAGCAAATTTCAAAAACCATCAGTTCACGAAACCTTTTTGTTTCAAGTTTAGATGTAAAAATACATGCGAGAAAATGATGATTGTTTAATTAGTTCCGGCAACTTCTAGCTGTGTTCTCCAAACAAACCACTTGATTCCAACAAGTACCAATCCTGCACTCCAACCAATTTCCTGTCTTCCATGTTCCTTTTCCAACTGAACTTAGATGGAAAAACCAGCAAATTCCAGGTCCAGTGATACATACTGGTCAGTTTGTGAGCCTTGGGAGAAGCCTGATGAGGAGTTGAGAACTGCTGACAGTTCAGTTTAAAAGCTCTTGCTACTGCCATTCACATGCCCCTTACTTGGTCTCCCTTACAGAAGCATTTTGAACACAAGGCTGTACATTTGATTTCCCATTGGCCTAATAATCAATACTTGGCTGAGCCAATCTCGAATAGCAATGGATTCAGCTCACTAGTGGTCTGTTTCGATAACTTGAAGGGGTATGACCCAGGTTCAATTCCAGCCTCGGCTGACTGTCTGTGTGGGGTTTGCACATTCTTCCTGTGTCTGCATGGGTTTCCTCCAGATGCTCCAGTTTCCTCCACAGTCCAAAGATGTGCCGGTTAGGTGGATTAGCCATGGGAAATGCAGGGTTACAGGGATTGGGTAGGGGGGTGAGTCTGGGTGGGATGCTGTTCGAAGAGTCAGTGTGGACTTGTTGGCCCGAATAGCCTGTTTCCACACTGTAGGGATTCTATTCTGTGAATGACATTCTCATCTTGTGATAAGCTATTCTTTATTTGATGTGGTTTTTCAATGACTTTTTGATTATTTGTACAAGATTAAGAGGTGTTAAGATATTTTAAGATTTGCTTATTGATGTTAAGAATGGCTGTAGGTTGATTAAGTTTCTAAATGAGCATTCTTTTTTAAAGGAGATTCTCAAACTCTCATTATTTATTATATTAGCTTCAGGAGCAGGTCAAATACCTGAAAGGGTTGCCAATGGCTCAACGGCTTTGTACATGGTGAACACTGGGAAAATGGGTGTGAAGGCTATTGTTGGCATTGCTGACATTTGGAACAAATAAATATAAACTTGAACAGTACTGAAAAAAAGAGAAATGTTGCCAAGTTTTTTGCCTTGCACTCATCAGGGCAAAGGTAAGAATGCCAACTTTCAAAGATCACAACAATTTATAATACAGAAGAAAATGAATCCTGAGTGTGCGTCCACCTGCACAAATAATCAACTTAAGGTGATCAGTTCAGCTAATAATGTTTGCATGCTTATTTACACTTGCTAGAAGCAACATACATTCATGTTTAGGGACTTGTTCTCTGCAGACAAAGAATATATTGTTGTGCCTTTTTGAATGACCCATTATTTTGGGGAGCCCATATCTGTCCATTGATTTCTCTATGGTAATGCCAATGAAAGTTGACTTATGAACCAATAAGCACCCTTTTCTCCTGTGGTACACAATGTTGTGATCATTTGAAATTTTGTATCCTTGCATTTGTTTTGATACAAGAAAGAGGAAATGCTCCAGCAACACACCTTTCTCTTCAGAATCCTCAAATTCAACAACAGATTTAAATATAAGACCAAGTGCAGTAACCAAAAAAAACCAGCAAATCTGTAACATTACTGTTGTCTTATTCAGCAGCAGCTGCACGAGTACAGACTAGTATCCAACTACTTCCTGAAAGGATGATGCCTTTCAGACAACCTGCTGGGATCAGGGAATGAATGAACCATTTTCATTTCGAAATAATCGACTGAAATGGACCACCTCATCTATCAGACAATTCCACTCTTATCAAATCACTACACTCAAAAATTTGTCATCCCTTTCCCCAACTTTAACTGGTAGAAAATGCATATGATTTTACTAAGTTGTAAAGTAGTCGTG